CTCCTACTCAAAGAGAGGCAGTAACTATGTTAACAGGATCCAGTCAGACCCATACCTCCTACAGCTCTACCCACTGGGCCAGGAACCTGACCCACTCGCATACCACCTGACGACTGATAGAGATCAGCCAACATCAACCAAAGCCGCCCTCAACAGCAAACAGAGAACTGCTCACACACTCGCATTCTCGGTTACACCCACCAGAAAACAGGAGGTGAGTGCCGAAGAACTATGTCATCAAGAAGTCATCAATTGAATATGAATACAACAATGCCACAATGCCTGAAGACAAGGGATCATTTCAGTTCACATGAAGAAACATGACAGCATGCCTCAAAAGAGTCAACAAACTACAGAGCTCGCAATCCTTTCTAAGAAGAAATGACACTGGACCTTACTTGTTAAGGAATTCAAAGAATGGTAGTTAGGTACTCTCAATGGGTTGAGGTCAAGATCAAGAAAGCTGTGGAAGAAATTTAAAAATAAACACATAGAAAAAAAAACCCAAAAAACTCAAGAAACGACTAAATGAACAAACCAACAAAATAAATTTTAAATTTAAAAAATCAGAAACTGTATAAAAACAACAAAGAGAAATCCAGATAAAAACTAAGATTTAAAAAGCAAAGACTACATAAGAAGGGTAAAAGAGCAGAACTTAATTGATGGCAGGCCTTCTTAATAAGCTTGAAGACAAATTTCTCAAGTCTAATTTGCTAGAGGAACGACTAGAAAAAAAGGACAACAACAAAAGTGGAAGGAAGGATAAGAATTAGGTGGAACACCATCGTGAGGAGTAACTTACATGTGAGTAGAATTCCAGAATGGGAAGAGATTTTTTAAAAGCACAGGGAGAATTATCAAAGAGTTACTGGACGAAAACTGCCAAACATCATGAAAGATGAGAAGATACGCATTCCAGAATTGAGGCTGGGAACGACACCTGGAGGAGTGCTAACGTCAAAGACAAAACCCTGCAATAATGATGGTCTCCCAGTAGATGTGTGAATAGACATGGACGCTGAGTGGGTGTAGGAGGGACGTTTGACAGAAGACATTTGTATGTGGGTATGGACCTGTGCTGGCTTTCTACCCCAGTGAAGACTTACAGTCTCAGAAACCCACAGGGACAGTTCTACTCTGGGCTGTAGGGTCATATGAGTCAGCATTGACTCAATAGCAGTGAGCTTGGAGTTTGAAAAATGCATCCATAAATGTGGTGGCACACAGTTCTGGGGGGACATGGGAGAGGGGGAGGAGGGGGGAAGGGAAGAGGTGATAACAAACCCAGGGACAAGGGAACAACAAGCGATCCAAATTGGTGGGGAGGTGGGTGTGGGAGAACTGGTAGGGCAGGATCAAGGGGAAC